GCGACGGGCGCTCGCCCAACAAGCGGCCGCGCCTCGACGGCGGGCGCGCGGCCGACGGGGCCGCGGGATCGCCGCCCCTCCCTGCAGGGCAGGAGGCCGGCGTCGGAGGAGCGGGGCTCATCTCGATGGCGTCGTCGTCGTCTCGATCACAATCGCGCCTCCAATAATTTTCAAGTATGGGGAACGCACTTGTGGCTCATTGAGATCTGTCTGTTTGTTAAACAGAAAAAGGAAATTGCGTTTCCCATCACTCAGAATTCGAATTCTCGGAAGTCCGAAGTATGGGAAGCGCAATTTTCTTCAACAAACAAGCACATAATGAGCCACAAATGCGTTTCCCATAATTCTTAATTTCGGGTAGCGCGACTGTGGTTCATAGAGTGCGCATATTACCATTACTATTATTATTCGCATTTTTTAATAATATTCTTATTATTATTATTGTTGTTATTATTATTAATCTTATTATTATCATCATCATCATTACTATTATCATTATTATAGGTACTATGCATATTATTGGGATTAGTGTTATTATTATTGTTATTAGTATTATCATAAGTAATATTACTAGTATGGTTATTGCGTTTATTATTATTAGTAGTATTATTTGTGTTAGTATGAGTAGTAGTAGTAGTAGTAGTAGTAGTAGTAGTAGTAGCAGTAGCAGTAGCAGTAGCAGTAGCAGTAGCAGTAGTAGTAGTAGTAGCAGTAGTAGCAGTAGTAGTAGTAGTAGTAGTAGTAGTAGTAGTAGTAGTAGTAGTAGTAGTAGTAGTGTTATTATTATATATGGTCTAAGCTTGCGTGTACATGCAGAACTGCCGAAGACAGAACAGCCGCCTGCACGATGTGATTAGAAGAAACGCGTTTCCAGACATTATGTACCCGCTTGTCTGGCGATGTGGGAACCGCATTTTCTTTTTCCGTAGCCTGTCCTGCTCAGGGAATGGGTACCACGGCTTCGCTCGCGCTAGCCGGGGGGATTGGCGCCGAGTTGGGCCCGTGGGTTGGCTCGTCCTGGCTTCTCGAGGCGGCCCGCTGCGGGCCGCCGCCGGCGTGCACGGCGCTGCCTGCCCTGGAGTTCCCAGCGTGCCCAGCGTGCCCTGTCTTCGAGTGCCCGGCGATTCCGGCCTGCCCTGGAGCGCCTGCGCCGGCGCCGCCGCGGGCGCAGCTCGGCGGAGAGTTGGGCTCGTGGAGCTCGGGCGCGGTGGCCGTCGTCGGGCTGGGGTGTTTCGTGGCCGAAGTGATCCTCGCCGGCCTGGGCTGGCTCATCCTCGGCCAGGGCCATGGCGCAGCCGGCTCCAGGAAGGACGTACGCGTACGTGCTCTACTCGGGCCACCCGAATCGGTGGCATCAGCGCCGACTGCTGGGCCAGGTCGCGGGGTCATCGGGGACCTCTGAGTACCTGATCGCCACCCCAGACGCCGACGTCTACCTCGAGGATTACGGCCAGCTGTGTGGCGACATCGCGGCGCTCAGATACGCGAACAACTTCTGGCCGCCCCCTCCTGGCGTGCCCCGTGCGAGCGTGTACCGTTTCGCCGCGGAGCCCGCTGGCGCGGCCCTGGCTGGGATGCTGTCGGAGGCGACGGACGAGGCGCGCCTGCTCTACTACGCCAGGGGCCGGGCGGCTGGGGGTGGACCTTCCTGGAGGAGTCCTGGAGGCGCCTGGGGCCGCCCCTCCTGCCGATGGAGGCGGGCCCCCCGCCGGCGCGGTGGTCGCGGCCCCAGCGCCAGCTCAGATGGCGCCAGTCGCTGGCCCCGCTCCTGCGGCGCTGGCGGCGCTGGCGCCATGCCCCCGGAGGCGCGGGGCGGGTCGCCGTGCCGGACGACGCCGGCCCGGCCATCCCCACGGGGGGCGCAGCGCCGGCAGGGCACCGTTGGCTGGCCGCCGAGGACGCGGGCGACGGCACCTTCAAGTTCGGCGACGAGGTCCCCGTTGGAGCGGCGGGGGGCCCGGCCCTCATGGGCCACTGGGGGCGGCGGGGCATCGCAGGGCTGGCGGGCGGGGTCTCCCCGTCCGTCGCGGTGCTGAGCCCGCCGGAGGAGGCGGCTTTCAGGCAGGAGTATCGCGGCTCGGACGCGCGGGTGCTGCCAGCAATGAGGACGGCAGTGGGCCGCAGCCGAGACTGGCGATCTCTGGTGGCGGACTGCCGCGAGGAGGCGCTGGCAGACTTCCTCGTCTCCGGGCCGCGCGCGGCCAAGTGGTGCGCCGAGTACCAGCATGCGCGATGGAGGTGCAGCCCTCCGCCATGAGAACTGGCGCAGCCGGAAGCGCCTCCTGCCGACAGACTTCGGAGTGGACCTCCACGAGACCATGTCGAAGGTGATCGACGCGCTGGGCACGCACCATCAGGTCGACCTGTTCAACCTGGCCGGCGCGGAGCTGGCGCACCGCAAGCTGCAGCTGGTGGAGCACTACCACGACGAGCGGGCCGCCGAGGCGGCGCAGGGCAACGCGCGCATGCCGGCCGAGGAGGCCCTGGCTTTCATGGGGCATGGTCGGAGCTCCTCGATGATCTGCCTTGAGCTGCTCGACAAGGTCAGCCGCGAGATCGAGAGGGCGGCCACCACCCGCAAGAACGCAAGCAAGCTCAGAGAGGAGGCCGCCGCCAAGTCCAAGGGCGGCAAGCCGGAGAAGCATGGGTGACCAGGCGCGGCGCGGCGCGGGCGGACCCCGGTCTGCGCCCCGAAGCCGAGCCTCTATGGGGGAGGCTGCCGAGGAGAGGTGGCGGGGCTTGCTGCCTTTGCCACTGCCGGGGCCGCCGAATTTTGACCAGGGCGCTGGGCCGGCGGGCGAAGCGGGACGTTCCTGTGCACCGCCGTCGTGGAGCCAGGCGCCATCAGCACCAGCTCATGCTCGAGCTTGTGACCACTCTGAACCAGCTGGACGCCGGCGTCGGCGCGCCTCGGCCCCCCCAGGGCGGGCGGCCAACCCTCGTGCAGCAGCTGGCAATTGAACGCTTTGCATGCGCCTGTGCGGCCATGGGGCCCCCGGGCAGTCTCACGCCTCAGGCAGCCCTCCGGGAGCTCCGAGGCCCAGGCGGCGACGGGGATTGCGAGCCCGTCAGCCTGACTCCGCTGAGAGTGGACCTGCTCAGCCTGCCAGCCGCCGGCGTGCAGCCGCGCCCTCTGGCGAGCCTGATGGGCCGAGATGGGGAGCAGAGGTTCAGCGCATTCATCGAGTCCAAAGTCTTGCCTAAGCACGTGGCCGAGGCCAGGCTGGTGGAGGACGGCTTCAAGCGGGCCTACCTGGGCCCCCTCTTGCGGCGGCCAGGCCAGTACGCGGAGTTCCTGTCGCGTCTCAGCTCGGCCAACATGGTCGACTTCGTCGACGACAAGGAGGAGGGGGTCGAGGTGGGTCTCTTCGCAGTTGAGAAAAAAATGGGAGCCAGCGTCTTATCATAGACGCCCGAGCAAGGAATCATTATTTTTCAGAGACAGACGGGGTGGCGCTCTCCAACGGGGCTGCCCTCAGCGCTATCGAGCTGCCAGACGGCTCCGACCTCTGCATTGCGGCCATCGATATCCTACCAGATGGGCCTACCTCCTGAGCTGCGAAAGTACTCCCGCCTTCCTCGCGTGCAGCGCCGGTGGCTGCGTGGAGTCGGACTGGGCGTGCCGGGCAGCTCCTCCCGGGTGGGGCCGCGGATGGCGGTGCTGCCCATGGGATGGGCCCACGCGCGGACCCTGCGCCAGCAGATCCACAAGTCCGCGCTGGAGGAGGAGGACGGCCTGAGCCCAGAGCACCGGGTCTCCGACGGCCGGGCGCCGCGGCCGCTGAGGGAAGGGCTGCGCGCCGCGTACGTCGACAACTTCCTGGGCTTCGGCGACTCCGCGGAACTGGCCTACGCGCAGCTGCAGGCCGCTCGGCGGGAGCCGGCCGCCCGCGGGCTGAGGCTCCACGAGCCTCGACGCCGAGCAGCTCGGCTGGCGCTTCGACTGGCGCGGCGGCACGCCCCGGCCCAAGATGTCGAGGCTGCGGCGCCTACGCCTGGGCGCGCAGGCACGCAGGAGCTCATCCGTGTCGGCGTCGCCACGGGGCGCCAGGTGGAGCGCGCGGTGAGCCGCTTCACTCTCGCTGGCCTTGCACGTCGGCCGGCCTTGTCGGTGCTCGACTCGGTCTATACGTTTTGTGCGAGATACCGAAACCATCAGCGTCGGTTTCCAGCATCTGTCGTCCGTGAACTCCAGTGGGCTGTCGCTTTCTTTTCTTCTCTACGCTGAGATTCGTGCTCTGGCTTGGTAGGCTCTACTGCTGCGACGCATCGGAGAAGGGCCGTGGGGCGGTGGAGAGGGACTTCGATCCGGAGAAGGTGGCGGAGGTCAGGAGGCGGCAAGAGAGGTGGAGGCATAGGCATTACGAGGCAGGATCACCGGCGAGGCCACGCGAGGTGCTCGAGGAGATCGACGGGGCGGAGGACCGGTCCGAGCGATTCGTCGACGCGCCGATCGACATGCTGAAGGGGGAGTGGAGGGTCGCGTCGAGCGGGGGGTGACAGCGGAGCGAGAGCTGGGGGTGTTCGCACGCGGTTCCCCCACCCAGGGCAACGCTTCGTGGCCCCATAAGGAGCTCCACCGAAGGCCCCAGTGGGGGTGGCTTCGTGGCCCCATGGGGAGCTCCACCGAAGGCCCCAGTGGGGGTGTTCGCATGCGGTTCCCCCACCCATGGCAGCGTTTCGTGGCCCCATAGGGCGCCGCTTCGTGGCCCCATAGGAAGCTCCACCGAAGGTCCCAGTGGGGGTGTTCGCATGCGGTTCCCCCACCCTATGGAGCCACGAAACGCTGCCCTGGGTGGGGGAAGCGCGCGCAAACACGCGCAGTGGGGCCTTCGGTGGAGCTCCCTTTGGGGCCACGAAACGCTGCCCTGGGTGGGGGAACCGCATGCGAACACGCCCACTGGGACCTTCGGTGGAGCTCCCTATGGGCCTACGAAACGTGTGAGAGGTGTGCCGAGAGCAAAGGCAAGGAAGGGGAGGAGGAGGGAGGAAAGAGGAGAGAAGAGGGAGGAGGGGGAGGAGGAAGGAAGGAAGGAAGGAAGGAGAGACGCGGGGCACCGTCTCTTCAAAACGAGGACCCAACACCACAGGATGGTTGGGTTTTTTGG